GTTGCGTCGTCTTGATGAAACCACAGATCCTTCACACATCATGGTTGTTCAATTGATGAACGAAAAAATCAGTAATAGTGGCTCTATAGCGGTCACCATTGACTGTAACGTTCTGACCAGCATCGTTTTCGAAAAAGTACTGACCAATGATTACACCAGTCCATAAATCACACAAAAAAGTCAGTTTTTCTAGATACAACGGTGTCTCAATAAACACTCAAGGATCATCGTAACTCCAAATACGGCAGTTTTGTTTATTGACGTATCCATTCAAACAAAAGTGAGCTTCATCGCTAAACCAAATTCGCTTATGAAAATCGGAATCATTGGCAATTATGTTTTGAGCCCATTCACCGAATCTGCGCCTTGCTAGGTGATCATGTAGCATCAATTCTTGCACGAGTTGGATTTTGTAAGCACACAAACCAAGAACTTTCTGCAAAATCTACCAAAAAATGGATGGACATATCCAATTCCTGTGCACGATGGCGGATACACTGATTCGGGTCTTCCTCTACGCTACGCTCTACAACAGCTATGACTTCTTCTGTACGCAGAACCATAACTTTTAAAATAAATTTGGAAGCGTTGTTCAGGAATCAGTCTATTCATGTTGAAATGCCAAGCCAAACTAGAAATAAATTACTTGACAGCTGCCGCTAGTTGAAAAAGTGTTGCCATCTTGAAGTTGTATTTAAAAAACACCCTTTACTTGATTAAAACAACACCTGAAACGCTCCCTTGGAAATGGTTTTACACAAAATCAGATTTTCTCTATAACATGTTGTAAGGCTTGTAGAAATTCTGGAAGCTCAGGGTCCAAACGAATCCATTGGTTTGTCAAAGTAATGATCATGTATGAAGCAATTGCCTGGTGGTCAAAAGCTTTACAGCAAACGGCTGTAATTTTTGACAATTGCCAAAAATAGGCTAACACGAAGCCTGGCTAGCTCTCAAAATCACAGCTTTCTGGAAATGACCTTCGACTCAATGCTCTTAACTGTCAACTACGCCCTGCCTTATCTCTTAAAGGCAGGTCTTAGTTGACATTTGAGAGCATAAACACCTGCAGATTCTGGTACAGCTGTTATTAGTTGTAGACTAACCTGTCTGGGGACCCAGTTCAAGCGGAAATCTACGCCATTGGTTTGGTTTTTGCCGAATAAATAAATAAAAATAGTTTCTTACAACAAACCTGATGCTGCTGACTACATTGCAAGGGAGGATGCTACAAGAGGTTTCATTGGACTCTTGTCTCTTTAGGCTTTATAAAATGATCAATGAATTGGACTGCAAGAAAAGTTTTACTGTTCTGGTAAAATCCACCAATATTGATCCATGCCAACGCATTTATATATCCTTAGGAGTTTTATACTGAACAATTGTTAGACTACAGCAAGAATAAACTATCTTGTCTTACAGACCAAATAACAGGTCACTGTCTCTTGAATTATCATTTGCAAATATCTTCCAGGGGTTGGGGGTTGTTGGAAATGATGTGATGTTATTATGAATGTTGATCATTTTTTATTCGGTTGGTTGTTATGCGTAGATGATGAATGAATTGTAAATAGTCACAAAAAATTAAATGTTTTTTTCCGAAAATCTAAAATATAATCAGTTTATTCTATTTTCTTTGAAGACACTTGAAATTTACTACTGAATTTGAAATTTATAAATTTAATAGTAATAAAAATTGTTTTATGTGTAGCCTTTTCATTTTAAATTTCCTCCTCTGTTGGAATATTTTATATTTATTTCTAAAGTATCTATTTTTTCACTAAAGCAGAACAGAAAAACAAACAGCGACTCCTTAATCTCATTTACGAAGGGTAGAAGGTCAGGTCCAGGATTGTTTTCAAGAAAAAAAAAGTTGATAACAAAATAACACACGGAAAAATGCTAGTTTTCTAATAGAAATTTAATGTATTTTCAGAAAGAAGTACAGGGCTTATATTATGGATTTGATTAAAGATTATATATTGATTATTTTATCAGGTTTGTGGTACTAATTATAGTAACTAAACCTCACAGAAGCAAAGAGCTTTCGAAAAATTGGGGGTGAAATGTTTCACTTTTGGTTATTTCTCTCAGTTTTGTGTTGGTGATACTAGGATTGAAGTGAGATGTCATTTCTGAATAGTCATTGCCAATATAAATGAAGAACTTGTCTCAGGATGTTTTGCAGTAAGTAAGAGTGTACTTGGTTTGAGGTATATTATATATTTGTGGAAAGTAAGCAGTACTCATCATAACTACAGGACTGTATTTCAGAAGCATGCGCTTCAATACTTGGCCAAGGAAAAACCTAGAGACTCTTGTAAACCTCTTTTTGTTCGGTTGAAAATCTGCACAGTATTCACCCTTCCAATTATTGGAATAGTATGCTTCATGGAAAAACACCTCACCAGTTGCAATGCTAGTAGTTGTTATAGATGGGTACCAATAATATTATTAAACTTCCAAGACGAAATAATACGTTGATGAAAGGCTGAGAGACATTGAAAGGTTTATTTCTTACTGTTTTTTTTTGGATATGTCACCTTCCACAATCTGAAAAATAAACAAAGTGAAACCGATAGAAAATCTGACGTATCTCAAGGATTAAGAGCTATTCACCATTTTAGGCGAAAGTTTTGAAATGAATTTCAGGTTTTGGAAACGGAAACGGAAGGCCAAGTATAAATGTTTGATATGTTTAATTTGTATACGTCAAACAGTAAGAAGTATTAAGTCCTCCACAAAAACTAAAAGGTTTGTGAATGAATTTTTTGAAGATAAATTTGTTTTAAAATCTGTTTTTCCGTTAATCAGCAGTCGCCCCCATACGAACGACAACTGTCAGGAGTTGAGAAACTTGTGCGAGCTAAGAATTAACGATGTCTTACCTTTTAACGTGTGATTCCTAACAAGGTTGCAGAATCATCACAGCTTCAACCAGATAAATTCTCTCGAGAAAAATATCTGGTCGAGGCAGGAATCGAACCCACGGTCTTCCGATCGTGAGTCGGGCGCACCGCGGCCAATTCCAATCATTTTTGAATTTCATTTTTTGTATTTTGAATTTATTTCGATCTTAGTGTGTAACATGTATTGCGGAGTATATCAGTTTTGCCAATTAGTTATCTCATTATTGTCTTTATCTTGTTTCCTTATAGGCATTATTTTGTAACAATTTTATACCTACTCATTTCAAAAACACAATATAACGTTTCGAATGGACCAATAGATAAATCCATAAGTTCATTTGGTGGTTTCATCGGTAAATTTAGTCAATAGCTGATTAACGGAAAAACAGATTTTAAACAGAATTTTTAAAACAAACACATTATGGGTAGATGAATGCTGAACCGAAAAATTATCAGATTCTGATGTGATCGTACTACCGTACTAGGTTGTATCAAATAGTGATAGCTCTATAACAAAGTGCCAAATCAACACTGGTCAGATGAGCCATAGGCTCCTCCAATTTTGACCGAAGTATAAATAATTGCGGGACAATAACTACGCTTATATTCGTGAAGGTATCTCAATAATCATGTGAATCGTGTCAATTTTCCATAGCAGAGAATTTATCAAAGAACATCAACAATTCACATTTCATTGAGTTTCTATTGTTTTATGCAAATCAACCAAGTTAAACAACAAAAAATGAAGTTGCTGAAGAGACAGTCAGTCATGAAATACATTTATTATGTGATGGAATGAAACTAATCAATGCCAAAATTGATTTGTAGAGAGGTTTGACAAGTTTTTTGAATTTTACATTTACTGCAATATATGATGTAGAGAAAATTAGCAAATGTGACTTTACATTTATATTGATGTTTTAAATAAGTATTAAACCACTAGTTACATAAAAATTCCAGTTTTGAGTGGAATTATGAAATTAATCGATATCAAACAAAACTCAACTGCTGAACTGAAAACATCAATAATCATTGAAGTAAAATTCAAAAGTGAAAAAAGTTATTGAGTATAATAGATTAGGGCACTGATACATATGGAATAATATCATTACAATTTTCCAAAGCACGTTGCTTGACGGAAATTACCTCTCAATTTTAAATAAATTGAAGATGTATACAGGACCGGATTTGAAGGCGCCGGTATAACGAAGGAGTGGAGTCTTCTAATGTTTTTTCTATAAACGAAAATACTTGTTCAAAACTAATTACTCTAACAAATATATAAGAAAAAGGGAATATGATGGGCCCCTACATTTTTTAAATAAAAGTTGAATTTTTAACTTTCCGCTAAGAAAATTGAAAATTTTCCAAACAAGGAAAGCGAGCGAAAATCAACGCGTTCCATTAAAAATTTCAAACAACACTGTTTGAAAATTTCCACTCAAGTGATTTCGTCAAATAATTTTTAAAATTTTGAGCTTGAAACAGCGAGAAGTTGTAAGGATGACCTGCAGGTCAACGTTTTTTTTACTTATTCCATTTCTCTTCAACTCATAAGTACAAAATACAAAATACACATTGAACAAAATTTCGCTACTGAAATGCTCGATCAAAACAAACATTGATAGTAAATGGAAACTTGCAATGAGGGCTCTACGATATCGATAACAAAATTGTTATATTCGTGCAAGTATTCTTTTTGAAAATGCAAAAAAAAATATTAGGGAGGAAAAAAGTAAAAGTTGCTGACCCGTCAAATTTGGATAATTCTTTTATCTTTATTGTGGGGGTCCCTCTCCTGTGGAGAGGGACTAAACCCGCTTGCCCTTCCCCAAATCTGGCTCTGGGTGTATATAATAACTATTCGGTCAAAAAATATTATGAAGCTGACATTTATACTGTATTCGCATACAGTATATGTACAAGGAAAGTATTAATATGTCAATTTTTCCACTTTGAGAAGTGAAAATCTAATCACTGGATTTTCGAATCCCTATCAGATCATAATGATTGAAGGCGTGTATCATTCACACACTGGATTACATAGATACAAAGTTTATATCACAATAAACGCATTTCATGCATATTGCGAAAGATAAGAGAGGAATTTATTTTCATACACCACTACCAAATATCAGAATAATCCAGTACATAACACAAAAAATGAAGAAAAACGTAGGAAACACTATTCTGGACACACGATCCACTTCTTTCCACATTATCTTTTCTTTTCCTTTCTCCTGAAAAAAAAAACATAATTTTAAAAATCTGATTGAATAATATCGAAAATAAATTATGAATATGTCATCAACATACTTCCACCAAGAAATTGAGAGAAACAGAAATGATTTTGCGAACGTCATTTAAAACGAGTATGTTTTCATTTGAAACTGGTATTTATCAACTGGTATTTATCAATTTAGAAACTATAAATGTAATGTAATTCAGAAAAAATATTTATTACATCAAAATATCAAAAGGTCGCGAAAAACTTCGACGAATTCTCATTATTGCTTAGTGAATGCAAAATGAAATTTCATTGCATAGTACTGAGTGAAACGTTACAAATCCAATACAATACCCGACATCTTGTCTTCGAATGATCATGATCTTATCTTAAGTGAGGGTAATAATATTAAAATTGATGAGGTTGTTTTATTCATTTCGAAAATCTTAACTATACTAACAGAATAGTGAGCATATGACGAAAAATGACTGGAATTAGAATATTACCATAAGTGTAGTTATTATTGAAAGTGACTTTTATATCATTATTCAATATTTTGCATAAGTTTCACGACTTCGCAAAGTAATTAGAGAGTATGTTTTGATAAACTAACCTTGAATCGAAGAGTAAATAAATATCAAAATAAATCCGAGGAGTCTATCGAAAAGAGATACGTATGCATATGAAAAAATATTATGAAATCTTAGAACATTCCTCTCTCCCAACGTACCTACAAAGTAGGTTCTCGTAAATACACACCGGTGAATAACTACTTTGCCGGCTAATACCATGCTGGACATTGAATTATATCCGACAGAGGATTGTCTTGCATGAGCTTCTGGTTCATTTAACAGCACGGCCACGTCTAAATCAATCGAGTAAATCATCTGCAGACCAGTATCGACGTACATCTAAATCTAATGTCATGCTCTTTGGTATAACAGCGGCGAAAAATGGTTGTTCTGGCCTCATAAATATTGTTATAGATGGAACAGAACTTTCCTTGAAAGGAGTTACAAAAAACTTGGGCCTATATCTTGACAACAGTCTTCGTTTTAAAACACACATTTCGCAAATTCTAAAACGAGGTTACGCAAATTTGAAAGTAATATATTCCAACAGAGCATTTCTGAATAAAAAAAGTAAAATTATACTCTGTGATGCTTTATTCACATGCCAACTACGCAAACGTGGTGTATGGTCCGGGAATTTTGAAGAGTGACAGTTTCAGAATCCAAAAACTCCAGAATGCATGCATCATGTTCATTACGGGCACGAGGAAACGAGAACGCATTTCCCATCTATTTTCGGACCTTTCCTTAAACTTTCTAGGCAAAAATACGAATCGAATGACACCTTGGTCGTAATTTTTGGACAGGGCTGAAAAATGTTACAAAAACAGTACATGTGAACTAGACTATTAACCTTAAAAACGTAAAATACACAGATATATAACCAAAAAGCAGCTCCGTACATTTTTTAACATTTTCATTGGTGAAATATTGATTGTTGAAGTGAAAAGTGTCAAGGAAGGAGGAATAAATTGTAAAGGTGACCTAGTGAATAAATGCTTCCGTTTTTAAATAGTTTATCTTGTGAGAAAGAAGGCTGAAAAGTTGCCTTTTTCTGAACTTTGAACGGCCGTAACTTTGTAAATAAGAAAGAGCGCCGCTTTTTTCTTTCAGATTCGTAATCTACGCATCAAAATAAAGAGGAACTGTTGGAAGGTAGGTTTACTATATCGTTTACTTGAACTATACCTGGGACTCGACTGACTTCAACGCGACTCGACGGTGTATTAGGTAATTTTGAAAGCATAAACATTGGGTACTCGGGATTCAATGAAGTCGAAGAAGGCCGTGTTTGCCTAGTCCTGATTGGCGAAGGTTCTCTCGGTGAGACAGTTATCGAAGTGCTTGAAAAGATGATAGTCGGTTGGCAAAAAGTCTGAAAAGTATGGTGGGTGAGGCAGAACTTCGACGCTCAATTGGTTTAATGTTCGGACAGTGATTTGTGAGGACGGGCGTTGTCATGAAGCAGGAACAGTCCTCTTCTGTTGACTACTACAGACTGCTGCTGACGCAATTTGCGGTACATTTCGTCAATTTCCTCAAAATAGGACTCTGCTGTGATGGATTGGCCCGGTTTTAAAAAGTTATAGTGAATCACACCAGCCACTAACAACCATATAGTAACCATGGTCTTTTTTGTTGGGATTTTCGCCTTTGGGAAGTGCATGGTTGGCTCATCAGTAGAGTATCCAATTTTCATTACACTTGACAATTTGATTCAAAAAAGGAATGTTTTAGTTGCACAGCAGTAAACAAGACGGGACTTCAAAACGTGACAAATTTTGTCGATCGTTCAAATGGGGCACTCACTTTTCGAGATGTTTGACATTTCCAATGTGTTAAGCTATCAAATATTGCATGGGAGCTGACGCCTAGTTCTTCCGCTATCCCACACGCTGTTTGTGATTGCTCAGTCTCCACCAGGGTCCTAAAATTCATGTTCTGGGTTACTGTAGGTCGACCACTTCGGGGCTCATCTTCAAGGCCAAAATATCCGGAACAAAATTTCGTAAACCAATGTCAAACAGTGCGTTCGTTCAATAACACTATCATTGTCAAATGCCTGGTTAATTTTTTGTTCTGTTTGGGCAATGCTTTGTTTCAATGCGAAGTCGTAGAAAAAAATTGGCCGAAAATCGCTTAACATCATATAGTAATTAACTGAAGAGAGGTGAAAATCAGAGAAAAAATCATCAAAGCATAGAATACAACATTCTCTATCGATCAGTATATACCACGACAAAGTAGAATAAATATTGGGTATTTCATTAAGCGTTTCCTATCTTTAAATTTCAAAAATACAGAGTGTGTGTGAGAAATCAAAGACATTTTTCATTCATTTGAAAGACACATTGATGGCATTATATGTGGAATATAACATCATTCAAGGTCCGCCACTTTCTGAGTGAAGCGAATTCGAAACGTCAAACTTTTCATGACTCTGGCGCATAAATCAGGCAGAATTTTACCGATGGCATAGGTTATGTTGGCTTTGTCAACTGCTGTGGTTTGTTTCTTATTCGCATTCCTACACCTGAGACTTTAAAAAAACGAGAGATGACAATACCCTCAAATCGCTCGTGCAGAATATCCAGGGTGGCATGATCTGTGTGGCACGTAGCGCCTTCTTGTTGAAACCACATGTCGTAGGTGTCCAGATCATCAAATTCACAAAAACAAGTTTTTTCAAAACATAAGCACTACAGAACATTCCTTAAGGCGCTCTCCAAGATAAGCCTTAACAATATTCCAAGATGTGGTGGTTTACGGTTTTCGCCATGATTTTATCATTGATAGCAAAGCGACTGTTGGTAATCACCAACCTTTAGTGCTCGTCGTTAACAGTGATGGCCTGGCCAACGTCGTTCTCCAAGAAATATGACGCCGCCTGTGACTTTTTCGGGATGGATTGGACGCTCTTGAATGTTATGTGGATTGATATCTTCCCAAATTCGAAAATTTTGTTTGTTCTCATACCCATTCATCCAGAAATTGGCCTCATCGCTGGAGGTGATTTCTCGATGAAAATTAGGCCAGTTGTCAATTGCTCGAGAGCCCATTCAGCGAATACACGTCGATGTCTTTGGTCGTTTACCTTCAATTTTTAGGTCAGTTGAATTTGGTAAGGGTGCAGGCCCAATCACGACGCAAAATTCGTCAAGTTGTGATCTGCGAGAGGCCGAGTTCTTTGAGCGACTCTCAGCACACTCTCAAAGATAGCAGCGATGTCCTCGAGAGATTTTGCGTTATGTCTATGTATGAGTGTTGGTCGATTGGTTACTGAACTAGTGGACTCAAATTTATCGACCGCATTGCAAATAGTCCTCTCGGACGATTATGGCAACCATAAAATGGGAAACGCGCGCAGTACGTTGCCCAAATAGAACACCCATTTTGATAAAACAATTTTATTATTTGTTGAATGCTATATCCGTCCATGATTTGGCAAAACAGACTGAATAAAAGACAACTAATTTAGCTTCAACAAGATTGCCGTTATCAATTGTCAAAGTTCGGAAGTCCCTACTAGAAAACCCTATATTTATTGAGATATGGAGCTACAAAACCACATGATACTGAAACGGACAACATTTGTGAAACAGTCTATTAGTAACAGCTTCATTTTGCGAACAAAGCCCCAAAAGCGGCAATGAAACAACCCTTGTACCAATGCTTAAACAGAAATCGGTACATGGTACCATGTATCGATACTTTAAAAGGAATCAAAATAAAACTGAATATTGTATTGAGAAGAGATGCATACGTATGAGAAAATAAATATGTCCTATTAGCCGGAAAAATGGTCATCTTTTGACAGACATTTACCAGAACCTATCGCGTAGGTAAGTACGTTGATAGAGACAAATGTTCACTTTGAAATATTTATTTTCTCAAGATGTTTCACTACCAATGAATTACAAAAGAAAAACCTGCTTACCGTTTTCCAATGGAGTGGGATGAATGTGTCCGCTGTGACCTTTCCATAACCAGAATGACGTTTGTATTCAGGCGAGGGGGTGCAGATCCATTCACTAGAGTTTGTTTTCTGTAACAAAACCATTACTTATTTCTAAAAGATTCAGTATTCTGCACAAGAATTATGTTAGAAAATGTATACATCACTGTATGATGCCCCAAAAACAAATCAGTGAGAGATTAGAACGATCAACTTCACAATTACGAATACGCTAAGGAGGGCAAATTGTAGGAGTATGTGTTGAAAAATGCAACTTCATTCAAGAAATAATGATAATATAGCGAATTCAAAAAAAACACTTCTATCTAAGATTTCCACTCGAAGTCAGTTCTTTCGTATTTTTAGAAAATTAACATTTCGAAATGGAATCTAAATATATTCATCTCTCCCAACCTTCTCTACCTACACAGTAGGTTCTGGTGAATGCTTGTCGAAAAACAAGTACTTTCCTGGCTAATACCGAGATGAACATTAAATTATACCCCACAGACATGTATGCAAGGTATCTTATAGAGGATAGTTTTGCAGATGTTTCTCTTTCATCCAGCAACAGGATCATGCTAATATCTTTTGAGGGAATCATTCACAGACCGGTTTCCAATTATTACCCCTCATCAGTCTAGAAAAGATGCGACCCAAACAGCAGTGTGACTCGGAGTCTACTGATTTCAACGCGGCTCGACTGTATGCATGAAACCTTCGTCTAAGAGAAAGCGTGTTAAGTAGTAACAGCTCCATCCTGTAAGCAGAGCTCAAAAATAGGATAGAAATATCCCATGTACCACAACTCAATCTCATTAAGTCCGAAGACTGTATCGACGAAAAATACATATGTATAAGAAAATAAACATTTCAAAATTAAATCTTTCAGTACTCATCTCACCCAATCAGGCTAATGCCTGCAAAATGCCTGCGTCATTGTTCCATTCAATTGTAGTACTACAGTGCAGGAAAGACCCGACGCAACGAGTAGAGTGTCTGGGACTCGGTTAAATTCAACGCGGATCGGCTGCATGTATGAAACCTTCTTGTGATGCACTGTTTGGAACCTTTGGTGTAGTAATAAATATTACTGGAGTTTAATCCCAACACCAAACTGTTATTTCAACACCTCGACACGTTTTTCGATCACCAAGTGATCATCTTCAAGAGGAAGATTAAACTAATCATACTTACAAAACTATCCTTATTTATACCATACAGGTATACCATACATAGATACAGATGTCTACCTGTTCTACGTACCTGCATCTTGAGTGTCTTAAAATAATTTTACAATTTGCCTTATCTACTTGTCTTGAATTAATTTTACAATGTGTCCTTATGTAATAGTCAGGTACATCTAATAAATAAAATATTATTTTAACAAGCTATATAGTATATTTTTTGGGAAAGAAAGTTTTTGGCTTTCTACTACTCCATCTGATACAAAAAAATGGATGAGAGAATCTTCCAAAGAAAGGAAGGAAGTAATCAATTTGAAAATAAGTAACTCTATACATGGATGTGTAGATCATGCAAAGAAGTAACTTTCAAACACAAACTGAAAGAAATTCCTCCTGAAATTCTAAAAGATTCAGTATTCTGCACAAGAATTATGTTAGAAAATGTATACATCACTGTATGATGCCCCAAAAACAAATCAGTGAGAGATTAGAACAATCAACTTCACAATTACGAATACGCTAAGGAGGGCAAATTGTAGGAGTATGTATTGAAAAAATGCAACTTCATTTAAGAAATAATGATAATATAGGGAATGCAAAAAAAACACTTCTATGTAAGATTTCCATTTGAAGTCAGTTCTTTCGTATTTTTAGAAAATGAACATTTCGAAATGGAATCCCAACCTACCTACACAGTAGGTTCTGGTAAATAAACATTTAGAAATAAAATCTTCCAGTACTCATCTCACCCAACCAGGTCAATGCCTGCCAAAATGTCTGCGTCATTGTTCCATTCAATTGTAGTACCTACTACAGTGCAGGAAAGACCCGACTCAAAGAGTAGAGTGTCTGGGTCTCGGTTAAATTCAACGCGGATCGACTGCATGTATGAAACCTTCTTGTGATGCACTGTTTGGAACCTTTGGTGTAGTAATAAATATTACTGGAGTTTAATCCCAACACAAAAATGTTATTTCAACACCTCGACACGTTTTTCGATCACCAAGTGATCATCTTCAAGAGGAAGATTAAACTAATCATACCTACAAAGATATCCTTATTTATACCATACAGGTATACCATACATAGATACAGATATCTACCTGTTCTACGTACCTGCGTCTTCAGTGTCTTAAAATAATTTTACAATTTGCCTTATCTACTACTTCACCAGCCATCATTTTTGGGAACTTAAAATAATGGATATAGAAATAAATTTGTCAAAAATTTATAGCTGAAGAGTTTCTGGAAAGTAAAGTTTCAATTTCTTCAGAACAAACCATAAAATGAACAAGTTCAGTGGCGCATTCCCATACTGGAAATTACTACATGGGAATTAAGATATTTCAGATCAATTCTTATATTCGTAATTTCTAACTCAAAATTGATGGTAACTCCTCGTTTAGGCACAATTTTGAGTAAATATTCTATATTAGTATTGTTAAATACTTACCTCACACATTTGTGCTTGTTTCTTTTTGAGAATATTATATTTTCCGTGTATAACTTTAACGATAACAAATTCTCCCAATGATGCAAAAACTGATATCATGCAACCTGCCATCCACAAATCTAGAGCCTAAAAAAAAACAATTTATTCAAAACCAAATAAGTTATCAAAATTGCATATTCGAAACTATTATACCTTCTCAGTTTCATAAACTACGTTTTTCTACAAAATACAACAACCATAATTATGATAGTTTTTAGTTGTAGCTATGAGACTAGACTGTGACTTCAAACTTTTCATTGCACGATATATACAGGCCGTTTCTTTTGAAACATTCCTGGTAACGTTGCTATATTCTAAACCATAACAGATACGAAGACGGGAACACTACAATGGTCGAAGAAAATTTACGGGGACTCTCGCCCTTCTCGAGTTATACGGGAAAATCAAAAATGCTGTTGTTCGTATTTTTTCGAAAGGAATTATTATTTCTGAAAATATAAAAAAATGGAAAAGGAAAATGATATTGTATTCGAAGTGTACTATGACGATGTAATAATAAATATTCGATAAAATGTTTCGTCTCAACACGGCCACCATCAACTTTTTTTTTAAATACGGACTAGTCTTTTTTATTACAGATATTGATAAAGCGGTGAATTCACAATTCAAGGGTATATCACATTTGATATTTTTATAGCGTTTCATTTGAAATAACCACCATCATCAGTGACAATAATCAAACAGAAAAACAATTTATTTCATCATGAACTTTTGGTGAAAATGAAACCAATACGGAAAATCAAAGCTACATGACAATCTACATTGAATGCTCGAATTGACGACATCTTTGTTGAATGCACATAAGTTCTCGGTCCAGACAATTTCTGTAGCTATTTTCGAGCATAATAGGTGTAATACTAACACATGCATCTCTTATTATTCGTTTGAGATGGTCGATATCTGCACTTGGTGTTGAAAAAACATTATCCTTCATGTATCACCAGAGAAAAAATCTAAAGGAGTAAGAGCTGGGGATCGGGCTGGCCAGTTAATTGGTCCATTGCTTCTGATCAATTTTCTTAGGAATATTGCATCCAAATGTTTCCTTATTATTGCTGCATTATGGGAAGGAGCACCGTTCTGTTGGAAATATTGTATTTCATGGCGGATATTCAGTGGCAATTCATCTAAGTAGCCATCGAATTAATTGAATGGAAAATGAAGATACATTTCACTAAGTATTCAAATGATCATCGAAAAAGAAAGGGCCAATGATGCTTGTTCCCACAATTCCCAACCAAACATTTATTCCGAACCTTTCTTGGAAATTGGTTTCCCTATGTAAATGTTCATTTGTATTATTCCACCCATAATGAATATTTCTGTTAAACCAACCATTGTTGGTGAATTTCGATTCGTCAGTCCATATTATTTTTTTTACAAATATTTCCAACTTCCCTATTTCTACGTCTTAACCACTTCGCAAATCGTACTCTTCTTCCATAATCATTTTCATTGAGGTGATGAACTTCGTATCCTGTAGCATTTATATTTGTTCTTTTTTTAAATAGCTCTGGTGGATTTTACAGAAAGCCCCATTTCGTGGACAATTTCTCGTAAAGAACAATCTCGATTAGCATAATTTTTATGACTGAACAATCCTGAATATTAAAAAAAGGTATTTTTCACTGTGTAAATTTTTATATGGTAATATTTGCTAACCCATAACATTTATTTGATTCCTCACACTTCCAGTAACCACACATTTTTTTGTTTTCTTTCTGTCAAATGCACCATAGTACCTCAAATTTCTCTCTAATCGTCTAAACATTTGGAAGTTCGGAATAACTCAACATACATATTCCTTGCCAAAAGAGGATTTCTATTTGATTTTCCATAACTGAATAGCATATCAGTCCTTTCATCATTTGAATACATCTTTGATATGTTCATAAACGTCTGACACTTCTCAACAGATATCAACAACGCATTCATTTTCCATGCCATACAAACCAAGCAAAGCCTACTCGTTCAAGATGGTAAATGAATTGAGATGCTATTTGATCATACCAAAACATTTTTGGTTTTCCCCGTATAACTCAAGAAGGGCGAGAGTCCCCGTAAAATTTCTTCTACCATTGTATTTGTTGTATGTAACAGCATTTTTGGTTTTCCCCGTATAACTCAAGAAGGGCGAGAGTCCCCGTAAAATTTCTTTGACCATTGTATTGTTCCCGATGACAGTTACCTTTTTTCCCATTTAATCGTCTTCGTATCTATTAAGGTTTAGAATATAGCAATGTTACCACATGATGAAAGAAACGGCCTGTATATATACCGTGTGACACAGACTTATGGTACACCCACTTTTTCTCCTTTATTTCTCTAGCGATATTTCTGAAACTTGAAACATTGAATATGCTCATTCGACGGCACTTTTTGAAATATTTGTAAAACAAATTGAACTTCCGGCTTTTCCAAAAATGACAACAACTTTTGATTTTCAAATGGAATATCCTATATATTATCACAAGAGCGGTTAGGGAAGATCATGAGGAATCCAGTGATACCAAGTTTGATGGTGTTATCTTTAATGACTATGGAGATATCGCCATTTATTTTATACATAAGCTCAATGAGTAGTAGAGAGAAACTTTTTCTGGTGGGACCATCCAACTCTCTCTCTCTCTCAACTAATCACTAATCAAAAGTTTGAAGCATGTATATTAAGTGAAGGAAGACATTTTCAAAAATTTTTATAACAATTTTTTTGATTAGAATTGTTTTACTTGAAAATGGCGGGTCACAAAAAAACTCAATAGAGCTTCAAAATTGAACGAGGGATTTAAAAATATTTTCATTGAGGAACAAACATTCAACTTTTCCACTGTTGAATTGAAGACTTCTTTTTGTATCGAAAAATGCGCAGCTTTATCAAGTGACACCGCGTAATTAATTCAAAAACTGAAGTTACAATTTTTATATTTTCACTCAAAAACGACGTACCATGAAAAAAAAACTCAATGAGACTCGTTCATCCCAAATTGAACGAAAAAGTTTAAAGTTCATTTTTTTCTTAAAGATGTCGAAGTCAATTTCCGTACCCACGACACTGTAGAGGTTGAAAAATATAAACTTTCAAGTCGCTACTTATCAATCGCTACTTTCAGTCGCTACTTATCAAATATCACTGAAATATTCCAAATGGAAATATTGTAGAATTTTCATATATTTCTTTTGACATTTTCTCAACGAAACATTTTTGCACCCATGTGGATTTACACCCTTGTATACTCGCATACCATTAAGGAACATTTTGTATAGAATGATTGTTTACAGGAATGTATAAATTGAAAAGTCTTAATTGTATAATGGTCTGCAGAAAACCTAAAGTTTTATTTCTAATAACTTACCTTCACATAGGCAACTGCCGGAATATCGGATCTCAGTCCAGTAAACATTGTGACCAAAGTTAATAAACATGTGACTAAAAGGGTTACTCTAGCTGGTATTGCATCCAAATCTAACCAGAAACTGAACCAAGATAATACAACCACCAAAGTTGAAGGGGCAAATGTCTGAATTAAATGATGACCAATTTGTCTTTCGAACCGAAACTGAACCGTCAATCTGGAGAAATTTCCTGAAAAATTTAGTAATATACCTTACATAATTTTTTGAAACGTGAAAAACCATGTTAAATGATCACACTTCATTCCATTTTGAAGTAAACGAAAGCAAAGTATGTAAAAATGAATAATTTCAGTTTCTTCTTCAATATACTAAGTGTCTCAACAGTGCAAATCTGCTCGTTATACCGATAATGCTGATANCTATCTTCTTTCTATATGTATATATATCTCCTATATTTCTCAATAGAAATGAATATAGAATATAGAACAAACTCTGTTGTTTTCCTCAAAAAATTCATGAATTTTGAAGAACGCACTTCGAGAAATTGTATTATTGTAAAAAACTTTGATTAAAATCTTTCTAGTTTGGAAGACAAATGCATAAATCATGAACAATGGGAAATGAACCCTTCTATGTTTTTCCCACAAATAAATAATAATGTCCGTACATAACTAAACACCACTATAGGTAATAGCAGAGGTACTCAACTCAATTGAGTACCTGAATTTTGTTTACCTGTGACAATGTGGGTATGATAATTTGAAAACCGGTGAGTAAACAAGATCGATTTGATCATTTTGCAGGTTACATCCGCAATGCTTATACTTATGAATTTCCGAGGATTCCAAATAATTGAGTTTCCAACCTTTGCTTGCATAGTGCAAAATTTTCGTATCGTTTAGATTCGGGGGCTTGTGATTGCATCCAAAATGTTTCGAGAATGTCGAATCATTTTCACCTAGTCTGAAGGACCTTTCATGTTCAACATACCGCCTTGAGAAATTTCGGCCACACTGTCCCACATAAACACTATTCCACTCCGGACACTTATGAACTTCAGATTTCTCCATCTTGTCCACTTTGGCATAGATTTGTGAGTTCAGGAATATTTCATCATGTAAGGATAATTTGATGTATAAATCACTTGAAAAAACTAATGTCTTAGCGATACATGTTGTGATATATTTTTCAAATAAAGTTTGTGGAGATTAAATCGTTGAGGTGTAGTTTTTGAAATTTACTGTATTAGTTTGAAAATGTCCATATAGGACGAAACGGCACTAACGTTAGTTACACATAAAAGTGGTCAAATTATAGAAAGTTTCATTTCTCATTTTTCATGATGATCTACCACGTAGTAATGGCTACATCAATCAATTTAAATGCATGAATGCAAATACGAAGATATCTATATTGAATGAGAAATTTTCATATTTGTAAAACTTGTTGAGAATTTCATTTGATATAAAACTTTTCCAGTTAAAATATCTTAGTCATGGAAACATGGCAGCATGGAAACAAGCTACCATATTCTCAGTTTCTTCAAGCAGTTTTATATTTTCTCATCGTCTTCTCCCATCTCATTACTTCAACGATCCATATGTTACTTTTAGTATTGCAACAGTTCTAAACGTCCGATTTGAACTTAAAAAAACATTTTACTGAATCTCTCCTTGAAATGTTCAGATACTTACCATTCTTTTCCATCGTATAGGCAAATGATTCATCTAGAAGCAAAGGAAGAATATTATACTGCAGTAGTTTCAACTCCGGACTTAGGGTAACTCCAGCTCCAGACCATTTCAACAGCATTTTATTGTTGTTATATGAAACTGCAAATAAAAATATATTCTCATTCAGATTACAAAAGTTTATATTCGCAAAGTGCTTCTTCTTCAAATTTAACTTATCTATTTTCAACACTCTTCCTCCACAAGAACAGAAATATTGTCAGCTATGTTGATGTTTTAATATGCATCTAGACGAATCCTTCATTAAATCAAATACCAGTATTTTGTTATTATTCCAAATGATTTTTTACTTGATTGATACTAAATCTTCACCTATTTTCCACCAGTTATTACATAAGAGTGCAAACAAAGGAATGTTAGGCCACAAAAATTGTTTTGCATGTACCTGTTTTAACAATTTCAAGCCTCACTTATTTTGTGGCCGTTCTCTATGTCATATTAAGAAACACTAGACTTTTCAGGTCTCTGAAACTGAATCTGTGAAAATGTTACTGTGTCCGGAAGAGAGTCAAAACTGGGTAGATTCATTTGATGCTAATAGTTCCAGAATCTACTCATATATTATCTGTTTTCAGAAATTATTTAAAATCAGTTTGAATATCAAAAACAATTTGAAGTTTATATTTATCGAAAGATAACATGAAACTCGATAAAACTCATTGCAATGAAGTTTTAATTAGCTATCAGATTGAAAACGTACACATAATTAGCCAACTATGGATTGTAAACACACTTTTATTGTTGTTTCGGAAAGAACTTTGAGAGGCTGAATAAATACAAGTGGAAATATGTAATGGAATATCTACAAAGTGCTATATGAATATCACTGGAGTTCTATCCGAACACCAAACCGTTATTTTCAACACTTCGACACGTGTTTCGATCACCAAGTGATTGAAACACGTGTTAAAGAAGATTAAACTGTTTAGTCTTCCTCTTGAAGATGATTAAAGTGTTAAAAATGACAGTTTGGTGTTGAAATAGTAATATTCATTACTACACCAAAGGTTTCAAACAGTGCATGAAAAGTGCTATATGCTTTTTGGGAAACAGCAAGAGGTTCTGTCAAAAGCATATATTGTTCAGCAAAATAGTGTTTCCTTTCAGGACAAAAAACACTCTTCCTTTAAGAATAACAAACAATAGTTCTTTTTCAAGACTACCTTTCGGTTTCAGTTCCTGTGTTCCAGCTTTTATCATTAAAAAAATATATTTTCCCTATTCATAACTTCCTTTACTCAAATACCTCTTGTATCATCTACAGTCTGAGTCTTTGTTGTACCTGTCGGAGTCGATAACAGCCGGAAGCTCTAGATTGGCCAATTTCGATACAACAGAATGTGTCTTCCTCATAGAGTAAGATCCCAGAGCGATCAGACATAACTTATTTTCAAATACATGGATGAAACCTTAGGTTCTCAGTAGCGTCTCATGTCTTTTGAATACCTGCGTGCTTGTGGAGCTCGCCTTGCAACACCTGGGCAGGTACCAGATAAGAAAGGTAACTAAAAATAAGAATTACCTAACTTAAATTTATATGGCTGATTTGTATATATGTTTTGTAGTGCCAGATACTTTCCATGGAACAAAATTTTTGTCAGGCGCTTTAAAGCTCCATAAAAAATGAACTTTACTTATTTCTACATGTCTGATTTTTAAATATGTTACTAAGGTAACTATTGCAAAGTTATATTTCATTAGTCAGATAAATTGTAGTGACCAAACATCCCTTAAACACAAAAATTATTCAGCCAAGAGAATGAGCGCGAGAGCACTATAATTTTGATGCTAGCAGTTTACCACCATGCAAATCTGAGTTATTTCAATAATTCTTCTGAGCCGATTACATTGCTAGCATATGGAACAATGCAAATCAAAAGCAACCTACCATTTTAACTCTTGAAAACAATAGGGGGACTTTAGAAGAAAACCATTATCATTTTCATTGGTTTGATGATGACCAATTACCTTGAAAAAGCATCTTTTTCGAAAAATGGTCGTTCTTCCTATTTCTACGCCATAAACTCGATGAAAGACTTTATTCAAAACGAAATCCATTTGACGACTGATAAGAATGTACGAAAGATATCTTATTTCAATTTTGTACATTATAGCGTGTCCTATAGTTTTTCTTATTTTTATCACCATAATATCAATGATTTATTTACTGTGAAATCCATATGTGACGGCGTGATCGGGATATATGTAATGTTTATAACACATTTATTCTCTAAATAGAACACCGTGCAATTTCTTCATTTGATGTATAGTTTTTGTCCAAGCCTCTCCTTAAAATATCGCCCCATGCCTAAAATTACCTGTTGCTAGATAAACAAGTTTTATAATTACACTGCAAAATTTACGTTCTTGAATAATTTCAATAATCTCGAAATTTGTGCCATATTTTTTCGTTCTAAAACAACCTTCAGCGAATAAAATAAAATTAAAAGATTTGTTGAAACTGGATGTATCAATTATTCTAAACATGAGCGCATCAAGCCAGCTACAATATAATTGTCATAATATTAAACATAAACAGCGGCAACGTTGCGGTGAGCGATCTGCCGCTGACGCCATCAAGCTAGAATCGGCTAGAACCGACCAGCCGGACCAGCGCGTTAGTGTTCGAGAACGATCTGGATTGCTTTGAACGGGATAAATACGCACGGCGCCGCGACATTGCGCTTAGTTTAAAACTGAACGCGTAACCAACGTCCAGCGGTTGGGTTAGTAGAGAACAACAAAAATAATATTA